ATGTAGGGGCAGTCCTGGCTAGGGGGTCGCACACTTTGGTTGTGACTCTTGCATACCCCAGTTTGCACTGCTCTATAAGGTGCAGGGGCTCCCAAGCAGGAAAGCTCCAGGAGGTCACACTTGGGGGGCCCGAAAAAGCACTTGTTTTCTAGGTCTCTAAGACCATGGATGTCCACTGACGTGTTTGAAAACAAAGCAAAGCCAACAAACTGGAACTCGTGCAGATGGCCATGAATATGGAAATGATTGAATTCATTAGGCAGATACAATAGAAGATTATGTAGCCTAGAAATGAATGAGACCTATTCTAGTAGACCTGAGAGCTTTCCATGAAGCACTTACGAGCAAGTAAAAGAGGAGGAAACACATCTCTGTCCTTTGTGATCGATTTTTTATCTTATTTTATTTATTTATTTTTTTTCTTTTTGGGTCACACCAGGCTGGAGCGATAGCACAGTGAGTAGGGCGTTTGCCTTGCACGTGGCTGACCTGGGTTCGATTCCTCCATCCCTTTCGGAGAGCCCAGCAAGCTACCGAGAGTATCCCGCCCACACAGCAAAGTCTGGCAAACTACCCGTGATGTATTTGATATGCCAAACACAGTAACAACAAGTCTCACAATGGAGACGTTACCACTGGTGCCCGCTTGAGCAAATTGATGAACAACAGGACAGTGTTACAGTGTTGCAGTGCTTGGGTCACACCCAGCAGTGCTCAGGGGTTACTCCTGTCTCTGCACTCAGAAATTACCCCTGGTAGTGCTTGGGGGATCCTGTGAGATTCCAGGGATCAAACCCAGGTCGGCTGTGTGCAAGGCAAATGCCCTACCCTATCACTCCGGCTCCGTGATCAATTTTTTATTTTATTTTATTTTATTTTGCTTTTTGGGTCACACCCAGCGATGCTCAGGGGTTATTCCTGGCTCTGCACTTAGGAATTATTCCTGGCGGTGTTTGGGGGACCATATGGGATGCCGGGGATTGAACCCAGGTCGGCCGCCTGCAAGGCAAACACCCTACCCACTGTGCTATCACTCCGGCCCCTCAATTTTTTAAATAGAAAGTATACCCCTGTCTGTAAATGATCTGTATGCAAGTATCTAGGGATTAACATTTTGAGAAAAATATGTACATTTGTAACTATTTTAATTGTGAATACAGATGAGGATGGGATGGTGTCTGGGGCATGGGAAGTATAGTTTTGGAATATCACTTTTTATGAACTTTTGTGGGGTTCTGCTTATAATACTGTTTTCTTTTATTTTTTGTTCTTTTATTTTGGGGAACTTCCCAAGCAATATTTTGGTTTACATTGTTGGGAACCAGCAGGGCCTCCCCAGTGGTGCTGGGCATCAAACTTGGTGCTTTCATGTATAGTGAGACTTGTGTCCTTGGATGGCTGAGCCCAGTAATGCTGTTTAAATGGAAAAATGTTTCCAAAGGCTGAAGCTTGGACCAGAGACAGTACACTGGGCAAGGTGCTTGACTTGCATGTGACCAACCAGACTTTCATCCCTGATACCTCATATGGTCTTCTGGGTCCTCCAGGACTGATCCCTGAGCACAGAGCCAGGAATAACCGCTGAGCACTGCCAGGTATGGTCCCCAAACCAAACCCAAACTGAGCCAGTTCCCCTCAAAAAAGGTTGAAGATCAAGGTCTGTATGAACAGAGACAGAAAACATAAATTTCAAATACTAATTGATAGTTGATTTATTTGGGGATTTTGAGTCACACATGGTGATGCTCAGGGCTTACTCCTGGCTCTGCTCTTAGACATCACTCCTGGCGGGGCTCCGGAAACCAGATGTGATGCCGGGGATGGAACCCTGGTCGGCTTGATGCAGAGCAAGTGCCCTACCCACTCCAGCCCCCAGGAAGTGGGAGGTTTGTGGACTATCAAAGTATCGCAGCTGTGTTTTCACAAGACTAGCACACATCCCTCAGTGAAGTCAGGAAGTAGCAGGGAGGGCAGCCAGGGAGCACATGCAGGGAGCACGTGTACTAAACTGTGCAGTATTCCTGGGCTCTTGGGAGCCAGTGCTGTGTGTCAGGGTTTCTGTGAGTTAAGTGCTATCATCACTCCAGGGTACATTTTCAAATTAGAGAAGACCCAGATATGGTTTCCCTCATTTAATGCTTTTTTTTTTTTTTGGTGGGGAGAAGAGAGACCATACCTGGCAGTGCTCAGGGTTTACTCCTGGCTCTGTGCTCAAGAATCACTCCAAACAGACTTGAGGGAGCATTTGGAATGCCAGGGATTAAATCCAAGTCAGCCACATATAAGGCAAATACCCTGTCCACTGGACTGTCCTTTTGGCCCCTCATTCATCACCTCTCTAAAGAAATGACACTGAGGATCAGAGAAGCAGTGACTTGTTCTCATGGTTTCCAAGTCCGGGTTTATGAAGTAGATACAGTCCCCACAAAAGGACGATAGAAATTATTGATTGGGGAAATACCCTAATATTAGAGAATTACAAGCGTCTAGGACCTAATGGTTGATCATAGATGGGATACAAATAAGTTATTCCTCCCTTGAATGTGGTTTTCACTCCTTGATACAAGTGGGTGGACTTGTTCTCTGTTAATCTGATATTGTGGAGTGGTTTACTCTTAGCCTCTAAGAATGGAGAGTATTGCAAGCAGATTTATGAGCTCTGATTTAGAAGTAACAACTGAAATTCTTATTGATTGGTAGTAGTGGATTAACATTAATTGCGAGCTGGTGCATATCAGGGGTTTGGGGGAAAGGTGCACATGAAAGAAAACCCTCATAACTGCACTCAGCAGATGCGTTTTATTACACAAAGGTAAATATGTCTTCAAATATCCTCCAACTCCTCTTGGGCTGAAGACTTATTTGATTATCTTTTCCCACTGCTAAAGAACTGAGTGATCCAAAAAGAAAAGTAGGCTTCCACTTTTATGTTTTGGCAAAACACTGGTTCCTCTTTAACTGAGGATTTTAGCTGGTTGTGTACTGAAGTACCATTTTGCAGCAGGGGCTCTTTCTCACTGTAGTTCCCCCTGCTTTGTAGAATAAAGACTCTTGGAAACATTCAGTAATTGCCTGTCATTAACGAACACTGGGCTGGGGGTTCTGATATGTACTGCAAATATTTACAAGACGCCTTTTCTTGGTGGTGGGCCTTTTATATAGAGGGTTTTCAGGAGTGTGGGGTGGTGACGTCAGTGAAGATTTAGTAGAGTCTTGCAGGATGCATAGGAGTCTTGCAGAAGCTAGAAGAAAAGTTGGAAAGAGAGAGAGCTCTGATGCAAAGGAGAGCACACTGCCCACTCCTGTCAGGCGGGTGGTGCAAAGACAGTGTGCCTGGGAGGAAGATATGGCGAGAGGGGCAGGATTCGGGGATGCAAGGCTTTCAAAGTGGTCAGGCGAAGATTCTAAGAGGCCTTGTTTGTCCCATCTGATGAAGGATGGCCCAGCATCACATATACTTCTGATGAGGTTGACACTGGCAACTGATTAGATGTCACTTGAGGAAAGGAGTCTAGTTCCCAAATGCTGATTTCATCACAACCAGAAATATTGGCTTCTATCCATGTCTTCTTATGTTTTTTTAAATTTTATTTATTTATTTATTTATTTATTTTGTTTTTTGGGTCACACGCGGCGATGCTCAGAGGTTACTCCTGGCTCATGCACTCAGGAATTGCTCCTGGCAGTGTTCAGGGGACCATATAGGGTGCTGGGAATCGAACCTGTGTCGGTCATGTTGGCTGCGTGCAAGGCAAACGCCCTACCTGCTGTGCTATCGCTTCAGCCCCTTGTCTTCTTACTTTTTAATTTTTTAACTTTATTTTGCTTTTTTGGGTCACACCTGACGATGCACAGGGGTTACTCCTGCCTCATGCACTCAGGAATTACTCTTGGCAGTGCTTGGGTGACCATATGGGATGGTGGGAATCGAACCTGGGTCGGCCTCGTGCAAGGCAAATGCCCTACCCCGCTGTGCTATTGCTCCAGCCCCTATCCATGTACTCTTAATTGACCTTATAAACAAAAACAAAACAAACACCAAACATGCACAATCAGTAAAATAACTTTAAGGTAAAAGGTAAAGGCCCTCCCGTTGATCGTCGATTTGCTCGAGCGGGCCCAGTAACGTCTCCATTGGAGACTTTGTTGTTACTGTGTCTGGCATATCGGATACTCTCGGTAGCTTGCCGGGCTCTCCGAGAGGGGCGGAGGAATCGAACTCGGGTTGGCCATGTTGGCCGCTTGTAAGGCGAACGCCCTACCCGCTGTGCTATCGCTCCAGCCCTTTAGGGCGGGGAAATCATTCAAAGGGCTAGTTCACATGCTTGGCATACTATAATAGAGTGATCACAGGCCACTGATCACAGAGCTGGGAATGGTCCCCAAGCACTGCTGGGTGTGGCCCCCAAACCAAAATGCAAACGTTTTCAAAACGAAGCTTTAGGTGGGGCTGGGGTAATAATAGTACAGCGGGCAGCGTGTTTGCCTTGCACCCGGCTAACCTGACTTCGATCCCTGGCATCCCGTATGGTCCCCTGAGCCTGCCAGGAGGGATCCTTGAACACAGACAGAGCCCTGAGCATTGCTGGGCGTGGCCAGCCCTCCCCCTCCACCCCAAATAATCTTTAGGAGCTTAGACATGGAAGATTGTCCAAAGTAATCCACCAGCTTCACCTCATCAGCAGGAATGTTAACTGTTTGACTTAGAAGATGATGAAAATTAAATAATTTTAAATATACATATTAGAGGGGCTGGAACGATAGCACAGCGGGTAGGGTGTTTGCCTTGCACGCGGCCGACCCGGGTTCGATTCCCAGCATCCCATATGGTCCCCTGAGCACCGCCAGGAGTAATTCCTGAGTGCAGAGCCAGGAGTAACCCCTGTGCATCGCTGGGTGTGACCCAAAAAGCAAAAAATATATATATATATTAGAAACTGGAGATACATTTATTGGAATTGACAGATTTTCTACATTTATGATATTGTTTGTCTTTGTAGGTGATACTCTCTGGAATCATTGGCTTAACAACATGGAAACGGCCTATGATACTCCTGGTATGTACAGAATTTAAAAATTATTACTCTCTGCAAAATATCTTATATAGGAAACCTGCTGAAATAAACCAATAACAAAGTACTAAAGTTTTCTTACTCATTAAAATATGATGCTAACCGTGGACAATATAAGAAATAAGAAGTTTTTTCTTTTTTTTAGTGAGACATCATGAGGTACAGTTGTAGATTTACAAATTTTTGTGCTTGGGTTTTGATTATACAATGATCAAGTACCCATCCCTTCACCAGTGCCCATTTCCCACCACCACGGATCCCAGTATCCCTCCCACCCCCATCCCCCCCATCCCATCTTGCCTCTGTGGCAGGGCGTTCCCTTTTGTTCTCTCTCTCTCCTTTTGGGTGTTGTGGTCTGCAAAAGAGGCGTTGAGTGGCAATCATGTTCGGTCCATAGTCTACTTTCAACATGCATCTCCCATCCTGGGAGGATCCTCCAAACACCCTTTATTTGGTGCTCCCTTCTCTATCTGAGCTGAAGAAATAAGATGTTTTTATGACAACAAAGATGATGATTTTGCTGGGTTTCTGATTCACTTTAAGCTTCTTGTATAACAGATGCTATACATGTGTTTCTAATTTTAGGGATAGACCAATTTTAAACATGCAATAAAGACATTCCTATGGATATTTTTATTTTTAAAGGTACGCAAAAGAGAAGGGACTAATGCCATGGATTCCCTTTTGCCCATTGCCTGACCACAGCTATAATCAGCTCCTGGTGATTTTGTTCAACTTGACCCTCACCTGTTCTCTCAACCTCTGTCTTTTTTCCTCATCATTCTTTGGAGGCAGGTCTCAGATATTGATCACAAATATGATATATTTAATGTTCATGATTCTTTGATAATATAATGTCATCATTTTTTATTGAGTAGATTTTTGCATTTTTATGTATTCTATTTCATGGTAATATAAACATTGGTGACATTTCTTTTTTGTTATAGCAATAAAATTAAACCATTTTATTTATTGATTTAATTTTGGGTAGTGCCACCTCAGACTCTGCTCAGGGCTTAACTCTTGGTTCTGTGCTCAGAGATCACTCCAAGTGGTGCTTAGAGGACTATACGTGGTACTGGGAATCAAACTGGGTTGGCAACATCTAAGGCATCTGTCCGCTCCCTACACTATCTCTCTAACCCCCAGGTTAACTATTTTATTTTATTATTTTACTTTTTTTGGGGGGGAGTTTGGGTCACACCCAGCGATGCACAGGGGCTACTCCTGGCTCATGCACTCAGGAATTACTCCTGACAGTACTCGGGGGACTATCGGATGCTGGGAATCGAACCCGGGTCGGCCACATGCAAGGCAAACACCCTACTCGCTGTGCTATCGCTCCAGCCCCCCCACGTTAACTATTTTAAAGCATACAGTTCAGTGGCACTTGATATGTTCCCGATGTCCATCCTTTGTTTTTATTTGCCGTTCCATTTTGACACTTAGCAAGAGACATTTGCCAACTTTCAAGGTAAAAATCAGGACTCTTAGGAAATTCTGTTTGTTTGGGTATCCAATTTTTTTCTTGCATATTGTTTTAATTTTTATCTTACCCATGTTGAAAGAAGATTAATGATTTTTTTATTGTCTTTCTTTTTTTGGGGAGCCACACCTGGTGATGCTCAGGGGTTACTGGGTCAGCTGTGTTCAGGGCAAGTACCTTACCTGCTGTACTCTCTCTCCAGTCGATTTGCTCGAGCGGGCCCAGTAACGTCTCCATTGGAGACTTTGTTGTTACTGTGTCTGGCATATCGAATACTCTCGGTAGCTTGCCGGGCTCTCCGAGAGGGGCAGAGGAATCGAACTCGGGTCGGCCATGTTGGCCGCTTGTAAGGCGAACGCCCTACCCGCTGTGCTATCGCTCCAGCTCCAGTATCAAGAGTAATTACTATTCTAAAGTTGCTTTGTACGTATCTTTCCCCCACCAAAGGCCATACCTGGTAGTACTCAGGAACCATTTCAGGAGCTCAGCAGCAGTATTCAGGCCAGTGGTTCTGTGGGTCATGCAGGATTGGGGAACAAACTCAGGATGTTGCACATATTAGGCATGTGATCTACCACGTGATTTATCTCCCTTGCCTTTAATTTTTCAAATGTTTAGCTTTTCAGTGACGTAATATCTTAACTGGTTAAATATATTATGGAATTCCAGGATGTTAGCTAAATATTATGAAATTCCAGGATATTAACTCTATGTCTTTATAGTTTCTTCCGTAAAAATGCCTTATAACAAATTGAAGTCACTGTGTTCTTAATTTCTCTCACTTTTATTGAGATATAAGTAACATACACCATTGTGTAGGGCCAAAGTGTACGATATGACAACTTGATGCACTCTTACATTGCAAAATGCTTTTCACTACAGTACAGAAACAAACACACTTATTATATTATATAATTACTTTTTTTTGATGTGCAAATATTTAAGATCTCTACATTGATCACTATTGGTTCTTGATGAAGTGAAAGCAGTGTTTCTGAATAATTAATACTGTCAATATAGAGAAAAATGCCTTATAAATTTATGATGTGTGTTTAATCCACTTTAAATGAAAAGGGTCTTAGTAAAGACACACATTTCTGTGCATTTATATCTTACCTTTGTTGATATCTATTTTTGTTTGTTGATATCTATTTTGTAACCAAGTTATATAGCCAGTGTATACATACCATGTTGTGACCTGATTTATCTGTTTAATATTTAATTATGATCATATCAATTAATATTGTTTCACTTGACAAGGCGTTCATATGTCTGTTACTTAAAGTCACAATTAACATTCTAACTTCTGTATCAACTCTAGTTGTAAGCCTGTTGGACATTTGAGCTTCGATTTTTGACTGTTATGAATTATGCATTTAGGAGGGCATGGAGAGATTGTTTGGAAGTGTTAATTAACATCAGTTTATAAAGAAGATAAATTAATTGATGGAAATTGTTCCGAGAAAGCCTTTGTGCTTATCAGTAGAACACTTGAGTCCTGGTCAATATCATCAATAAAAATTCCTCAGTTTGAATGAATGTTTATATTTTGGCATTGTAAGTTGTGCCAACTGCATTGGTGAAGTTCTAACTTCTGAATCCTCTAGCTGGAGAAAGAAGAAATTTGCTTAACTGGGTCCTTCTCTGATGAGTCCCAGCTCAGCAGTCATTTCCCTAGCGAGACCTTCCTTGAACACTGACAGCTGAGGTCCCCGATCCTTATGCCATACCCTGCACTACCATGAATTTTATTGGTGTCCAGTCTATAATTAACCTGTGAACTTTTTTGTTTACTGCAGTTTTCTGTCTTCCTGCAGTGAAATACGCTGTTTATGAGATTGGGGTGGGGTCTTGTTTATCTTGTTCATTCTGTACCTCCAGAATAAATACGCTGAATACACAGTTATTGCTGGTCATGAGAGTTAGTTGGCGGTCAGGAAGGACTTCAGTGGGGCTGGACAGATAGCTCACTGGGCTGAGTGCATGCTTTGAATGCAGGAGGATCTTGTTCAGTTTCCAGTATCATCTCCTGAATATTGCTGGGAGCAACTGCCAAGCACTCCTGGGAGCGACGTCTGAGCTAGGAGTCCTCCTGAGCACACCCGGGTGCTCCCTATGACTCCAACATTAACAACAAAACCAGGATTTCAGTTGAGTCCTTGAACTTTCTTACTTTAGTCTTAGATGTATCTGACTTTTTTCCTAGAAAGTTTTACTCATTTCTGTATTTTCAGGGGAACTAGGGGACATGTTGGAGGTGAAGGCCCACAGTGGGTGGGCTGTTCTTTGCAGGACTCTTTGCAAGAGCCAAGTGGTCCATGTTTTGGGTTGGTGCCCAAGTCTAGGATGCTTGAATACTTCCTTTTGAGAACCATTTTTATTTGTGCTCTTTCCTTTGTGATTATTTTAGTGATTACATCTTTTTTTTTTAACCCCTTTGATCAAGGAGCGTTCATTAGTTCTGGTTTCTTTCTTTTCTTCAAGCCCAAGTTTTCATGAAAACTGGACCAGAAGCTCTCATTCCCGGTGTCTTTTATTTAGTCCAATAAAACACTCTTGTACTCTGTCACTGTCACTGTCCTCCCGTTGTTCATCGATTTGCTCGAGCGGGCCCAGTAACGTCTCCATTGGAGACTTTGTTGTTACTGTGTTTGGCATATTGACTACGTCACGGGTAGCTTGCCAGGCTCTGCCGTGCGGGCGAGATACTCTCGGTACTCAGAACAAAAAATTAAAACGGGTAGGGGCCAAGGATGTGACTCAAAGGAAAAGTGGCTTGCCTTGCATGCCTGACACCTGAGTTTGATACTTAGCACTCTGAAAATTAAAAATACTTTAAAACTAGCATATTGGGTTATGATTTAGGATTACATAAGCATCTCTGTGTGTAATATTCTAGGTTGTGTATTTTCTGCCATGTGCAAACATTTCCTATTTTTAAAGAATGTTCTTATTTCTTCTCACTTTTAACTTTTTAAAATTCTGATATGTTGGTTGGTAACTGTTTGGAAATCCCACGATCAGTGTTGGAAATGACCTCAAAGATTGCCTTCTCATAGCATCCCAGTTAGAAAGTGGGATTGTCCTATTGAGATGTTTTTCTTTGGTAAGAATGGTCACTATGAAGCCCAGCCAAGCATCTACCTGTGATTTTTGTTGCTTATAAAGTGATAATTTGATCTATTGTTATTTCTTATCTTGTCAGTTTGGAACACATGGGATGACTCTAACCTTACAGCTGTTAAAAGAAAAGCTTTGTTCTTTAGCACCAAAATGAAAGGTTTTACCCTGGTGGTATACTTTAGTCTTCTAAGTGGTTATTGTCAATTGAGGGTTCTCTTGATTTGAAGTTTTGTTCAAGAATAGAAGAAGCAAATTAATTGCTTATAATTTGTGAACTGGAGTGATAGTACAGAGCGTAAGTACTTGCCTTACATATTGCCAACCCCGATTTGATCCCTGGCACTGCATATGGTCCTTTGAGCCCCGCAAAAAGTAG